TATGTCCTACCATTAAAGTGCTATACCACCATTCTGGGAACTTTTTGACTGACCCTCATATATCATTTTTATTTTGTGTCTCAGAAGAGGTATAAACCCACTGAGCCAGTATTACTTTGTGAGTAAAAGGCATATTCATCACTGTGACTTGCAGTATCAGTGTCGGACTGGCACTCTTTTCGACTAGTATTATAATTACTTTGCATCACTATTTTGCAAGTATTACTAACAGGTGAGAGTGTCGATTTGTCAGTCAACATAACTTATTCAATTTAGCTGGAAACTCCCCCTCCCCAAGATGATTCTTCAATCACACAAGGCGAATTTCACGGTCAGTGGCATTTCTCAGGGGAGGCCAAGTTCATCTGGGGCCCAACCAAGTCTAATGGAGGCGAAACATTCACAACACTGGCCGATCAAAGGGAAACAAAGACGCCGTGTATGTTCACTAAATAAGAAAAGCAGGACCACCCTTTTCTATTGTAAAAAGTATGATGTGATGTGTGTCATGGACTGCTTTGCGAAGTGGCACGCGCACATCAGAGTATGAGGTATCGTAAATTGTGAATCACCATGTCTCAAGGTTGAAGAAAAAATTATGGGTATGTCCGTTGCAATTTCGTAACATGTGTAATAAAGATTACAGTTTGCATTTCATGACAAAATAATCACAGTTAATTTTCATTTGTAGAAATTGATCTTTTGTGTATATGTAGAAAATTTTATTGTCTTTCAGTGTGTTTTTAGTTTGCATTTCTATGTTGCATAGAACAGAAAATATGTAGTTTTTTTTAAAGTCTGCAATATTAAAGACTTAGCACCATTTAAATTCCGGCCACAGATGTCTGCCAGCAATTTAAAAGTCCGTACATTAAAGGTTAAACACTCTGGAACAAGTCTGTTGCTAAAGTCAGTCAAGTACATTAGAAATTATTTTGGAACTGTTCATTAGTCAGTTCCAAAGTATTACATGTGATTATGAGTTAAAATGCAACTATGCCCAAAGAACCATTAGAAAAAAGGTATTACTGATGAAGTCAGAATATGGTCTAAATTTTAAAGACATGAGATTTAAGATTCTCATGGTGATGATTATTTAGGTTACACTCTTCTATGAAACTACATGTTGTCACATCTGAGAAAACCACAATCTAAATGTCTCATATCTTAGGTTTTCATAATGTGGCGATTAAAATTGGATTTTGACACCATGTAGTGTAGTCAGTGGTCAAAAGTCTTCATTTTTCTAATGATATTCATTTCTTTTCAAGTGTATGACATGCTATACCAGAAATGTATGAATTATATAATACTTTCCAAGCTGCACTACAAATAGTGTGGAAAAATACATGCTACAAATATACATTACTTGCAGAAACTTTAGAATAGGAATGACTAATATGTTAATTTACAATGCTGCAAACTATCATCTTAAGTAGCTTTAATAATGAATAATGCACAGGTCAGCAAAACTGTTTGCTTGAGAAATGGGAGAACCTTGATTAAAATTGTCCCAGAGCAGTTCTATTCTCCACAGATTCCACATAACTGTGGCTTTGGAAGTGTACACAACAAAATGTGCGCTCATGGTCATGAGACTTGTACTTAAATTTATTTTCTACAAGATGGCAGAGCTCTTTATTAGCGCACTGGGAACCAAACCAGTTGAGGTTAAGACAGCATCACACCCACACAGTTCATAAAACTGAATCATCTTTAAGGTAACTATATGCAACCAGTCAAACTGAGGTACCTGAAAACACAACACCAGCAGCTTGAAAGCATGAAACAAGCACTCTTAACAGTTTATATTGGTAAGGGCCGATCACACTACAGTGATAATTTTTCAACTGTTTGTATTTTTAGTGCTTTAAAGGTGAAACTAACATAAACAAATTAACTTATTTACAATATCTATTTGCATTTTGACAACACTTGTTTCCTTAACATCCGACTTTCAGTAATCCATAATCTTCCTTGCAATAAAATTTCCATTTCTTGCCACAGGGTGTGAGGGATCTGCCAAGTTATCTTTGTTGCACAGAATGTAACATTTCAATAGTACTCGTGTCAATACCCTGTTGTAATTGAGGAATATTGCAAAATCCAAACATTGTTCCAGCAGATATTGGAGCTGCTGTATATGGGGGCGCAGGGGCTGGATTATAGAACTGCATTCCACGATCACTGCGGTTCATTAGATGTTGTTCATCGTGTCCTGGATTTGTGCCCTGATTCACGAAGATATTGTGAGTTGCCATTGTAGCAGATACAACAGAGGGAATAGAAGTGTTGTTTGCCACTGCTGCTGCTGCTTCAGCTGCAGCTGCAGCAGCTGCTGCCGCAATTTTATTAGGATCTGGCTGGTGGCTTGTGTTTATACCATGCCGACGTTTCATATGCTTATTGTAGTTGGGCCAATTGGTAAAGTGATGCTGGCATTCCAAGCAAGAGTATGGTCTTTCTCCTGTGTGCTGACGGCGATGTGTCTGTAATAATTCAACATATTTTGTCACTTTCACTACATGGATAATTCCTGTAACAGTATTCTGACACGTTAATTTAAAGCACATGTAAAGCTGCCCAAAGCACCTAAAAATTATTAACATGTAAAGCTGTACTGGAAGCAATAAACCAAACTTAAATTTACTTTCTCTCCATTCATGACTCGACTCTTACACCCATAACCACAAAACAGAATGCCTGTAAAATAACCTGTTTTCTTCCATCCAACACTGAAAACCTATCATGTGGTTAAAACATAAGAGTAACATACATGCACATGTGCACATTCTCTGGGTAAAAAGATATATTAAGGGATTATTGTATGGCAGTGAAAGGATACATAATATAGGTTTTCAGTGAAATGTGCCTATGTAAAATGACTTCCAATAACAAGACTGGTTAGTCACATTCAGTACAATCACTCTGCAAATTAGAAATTATTCAAATTAATTTCTTTACAGAGTGGAAGGTCAATGGGAAAGGAAAACATTTGTGTAATCTGCTACACAGAAGCAGTATTATCAAGCTCCTGAATGGAGAATGCTGTAAATCTTGACCTTTTCAGTGTACTTCTTTAGCACTGATGTGAGATTAACCTATAGAAAGAGGTCAGTAAAATAACCCTTGCCAATTAGTGGTTCAAAATCAATGGAAGGCAACTTTTTGTTAATGAATTTCACCACTGTGGAACTATATTTTCCTTATTATTATAGTGCCCGTCAATAATGCAACAATATTTTTAACTCTTTGACTGGCGCGAAGGGTATTTAAATCCCACCCCTGTCCTGGCAGGCCCTTTAAACCTTATGTTGCTAAAATGCATGTAATTACTTTTTCCTAAACAACTTCAACAAAAATTGGTTTTTAAAAACGAAATTTTCAGGAACTATTTAAAATACAATATATTATGCAATAAATTCCTTTCCATACCTCTTTATTAGTTTTTCTTCGTGTGATAAACATTGAAACATGAAAGTTTGCAGAGAGCCACACCACAGCCTGCACACATGATACTTGTTTCTTTTCTAACCTTGTGCTTAGCACTCACGGGACACTTTCTCAGGGCACCATTCTTCTTATTGTTACTGGGAGGAACATGGACCATTTTGTGAATTTTCAAGCCACCCTCTAGACGATTTACTGGCTCTTTCACTGGTGGCCTTTTCAAGGTCGAGGGAG